TTTATTTACAAAGTTCAAATACATCGTTTTTCACACCGGATCTTTCCCATTTCATTCACCTCTCTCCCATCAAACTATACGACCCTATGATTTACAAACCCCCCCCCCACACACACACACAAACACTGCTCATCCTCATCCCTCTGTTTACACCCTCCCCTCATACTCATTCTACAATAATGGTTGTATACAGTGTTTGTCCTTATGGCTGAGTTAGTTCACTCAGCATAATGTCCTCCAGCAACTTTTATGATCTTAAACTTATAAAACAGGACTGACATGGGGGTTGGGGGGAACTAAAAAAAGAGGGTTTAAATAATGAACACTACATTGGAACAGATGAAGGAAAGAACTGTTTAAAAGGACTACATGGTTAGGCGTTGCTTGTGTGACAACAGTCCAGAATAAAAGGTGCATAGCGAAGTGGGCTGGGATGGGAGGAGGGAGGAATTTATGCAACAATGAATGATTGTTTTAAAGCGAATTGGGGGGCAGGGCTAGGGAGAAAAATGTATAACAATGAATGAATGGAAATCCAAGTTTTCTGTCAACTTTCACTAAAATCACTATTTAAAAATTATTTTTTAAAAAACCAAACTATATCTGAGCTTCCCCAACTCCAAGGAACACAAATGTAGACAGAAAGAAGAGAGACAAGGGAAATTTAGGGGCAGGTGTGAAAGGGAGGGGAGAAGGGAGACTGTTCAGAAGAGACTCCGCCCCAGCCCACTAGACTTAGACATGCTCTGCAGGAGCCTCAGAAAGGACATGCACTGCAGAGAGGACCGTGGAGCAGGCAGGACCGGCAAGGGAGGCAGAGGGTGGGCGCTTCTGGAGTCACACTATTCCCCGCAGAGGAAGGCACAGAGCAGGGGGCAGAGAGCCATGCATCCCCCCTCAGCAGCTCCCCTCAAAGGGCACATCCTTTGGCAGGGAACGCTGCTCACAGGTGAGAGGGTACAATGTGCTGAGAAGCAGAAAGTGGTGAACAGAGACAGGCTGGGTGGGCCAGGGAGGACCAGGGTCTTAGAGGTGACAGAAAGCTCCTGCAGGGGTGGGGGGTGGGGATACAGCCTGCTGGAAGGTCAGCTATGAGTTGGGTCTGACTACGATGTTCATGAGAGAGTCCACTCTCAGAAATGGGCAATTAGAACAGGAGAACTTGAAAGGCTCTTGGGAAACCTTCACTGATTTATCTCCCAGGAATCTGCCAACTTGTCTGGGGGAACAATATAGAACAGCAACAAAAACAAAAATTCCCTCAAGGAGTTCATGTCTTAGAGAAAGGGAAATAGACCAATATCCAGATAGACACCCAATATCAGTTGGTGAGTGCTGAGAACACAGAGCAAGGAAAGGTCTCAAAGTGAAGTAAGAGATGAGATGTCACGAGAGGAAGGTTCCAAAGAAGCCTGTAAGCAGATACCTGAGGGCAGGGAGTGAGCATGTGCAAACACATTGGGGTTCAAAGACACTAAAGGAATTCTAACGTTGGAAAGTGTGTGCAAGGGCCAAAGGAGACCTCGGACTAGATAGAAGGCCCAATTCCCCTCCCCCAAAGCTGACCGATTTCCCCCTTTCTCCTCCTAGTTTCACTTCTCTTTTTCTGGAGTTCTTCCATCTCAGCCAAGCTCTCAATGAATTCGACGCTGATCAAGGCCATTGAAGGAGATGATGTTCTTCTCCTTGTCTACAATCTGCCCCCCGACACTCTGGAGTGCACCTGGTACAAAGGGGACAAGTTAGAGTCCGACTTTACAATTGCAGCATACACGATACCAACCGAAGCAGATACCCTTGGGCCTGCACACAGCGGCCGTGAGGTAATATACAGCAACGGGTCCCTGCTGCTCCAGGACGTCATCCCAGAGGACACGGGTACTTACACACTACAAATAACACGCCCAAATGGTCAGCTGGAGACACTGGCTGGACAGGTCATTGTATATGGTGAGTGATTGTTGATGTCTGGATTTGTTGTTGATAGGTGCTATGGTGTCAACTACAACTCACAGTGATGCTATAAACAGATCTGACCTTTGCCCTCCCCTACACCAGGTCACGGTCTCCAATATGCTCGAGTCCATTGCTACCATCATGCGCAGTCTATCTTGTTAAGGGTCTGTCTCTCTTTCTCTGACCTCATACATTTGCTAGCACATCTTTTTTCTAAGGACTGGTCCACAGACAGCACACCCAAAGGATGTGGGGTGAAGCTTCACTGCCTTTGCCTCTACAGAGCACCCTGGCTGCACTTTCTCTGAAACAGACTCGTTTATTCTTTTGACAATGCGTGGAATGCTCAGTACTCCTCTCCAACACCACAATTTAAAGAAATAGATTATTCTTCTGTTATCGTTATTCATCGTCCAACTTTCAGATCCATAGGCTCATTGGTGTGCTGGGGGGCTCTACCACTGGAGTAGAAAGGAAAGGACTTTGCTGTCTCACTCCCCATTGCACTACCTGAAACTAGTACAGACACAACCTGTTACCAACTCCTCATTGCTCTTTGATGAAGGAATGAAAGAATAGTCACTGAGTGAATGAATGTCCATAATCTCTTTAGAGATTGAAGCCCAAATGCAGAGTCCCAGGTTGTTCTGCCAACATAGCTCCCTAGCCCTCCAAGTGGCTGAGATCCCTTCCCACTGACTCTGGAAGCTGCTGAGAGATACAAGAATCAGAAAACAGGACAGCCAGTTGTCAGTGGAAGTATGTGAGGGAGTTAGGTGTGGCGATCAGGGTGTTCTTATCAGGAATGTGGGAGGACGAGGAGGAGAGGATGAAGAACAGGGAGGAAAGAGAGTCGGAAATGTCCATGATGGTCAGCATTGCCTTTGGCGTTACACATGACTTCACAGATTCAAAGGTCCACGAGCCCCCAGGTGATCCAGAAACAAGGACAGGACAACCTGAACCTTCACCATGTACCAGGAGAATGAGCTTCCTTTGTGTAATGTATAGGGTCTTTCCCCCTAGTGACGCCAGCACTGGAGATCCTCAGGATGGATTACATCTTGATTTTCTCTCCAAACTGATCCAACCAGGAAGTCAGAGGCAGAGGAAAGTCCACAGTTCTCAAAGCACAGAGGAACATTTTACTTGTGAGCTGGCTGGGTGAGCCAGGTTGACCAAACCCTGGTTTTGTGGTTGTGTTCTGTTGTATGGACGTCATCCTCTGTGGTCTAAAGAAAAGACCTTCAGTGAGATAGGTTGACACAGTGACCATGGGCTCAAGTATTTCAGAGACAGTGGGGATGGCACAGGATAGGACAAGGTTCAGCTTTGTTCATAGAGTTGCTATGAATCATAGACGAGTTGACAGCACTTAATAACAACAAAGAAATGAATCACTCTGCGGGAGTCTCTGTGTTGAGACTCCCCAATTTGTCTGATTCTCCATGAGGAATTAGAGACAAGGATCTCTTTTCTCAGTTGACTAAATACAACACATAATTTCTACAAATGTGATCTATTTTTCCTCCTTTTCTGAGACGTCACAGAAGCTCCCAGAGCTTCCCTCTCCACCCAGGAGTCCTTGATTTCAGATAGACTTTGGTATCTTCCTCTGACCGCAGAGTTGAACTTTAGAGCTTGGTCTAAGAGCTTCTAGAATCTTCTAGAGAAAGATCCCTTCTCCAGGCAATCGGTCTTAGATCTTGAAGATCTTGGTAGGTGTAAGATCTATAAAAACAATGCTGACATGTGGAAGCAGTTTAAACATTTAATCAAATTCCTATCCACACCACTACACACAAGTGACCCGCGTGGACCAGTTCCTCAGCAAGTTCATGGTCCTCTACTTTCCACAGCCCAGAAGCCCATCTCACAATCATCTGTTCTCTTTCTCCACAGAGTGGCTGCCAACACCCCTCATCTGAGCCAACATCACCACAGTCAGAGAACATGAGGACCCTGCAGCTTCCACCTCCCTCACCCACCATGCTGACATCTTTAGCCAGTGAACCTTCAAAGCCCTGAACCTGTAGCTCATAGATAGGATGATTCTGTCCCAGAACAACAGCCCTCTCACCATAAACCCCATCAGGAAAGATGATGCTGGAGACTCTCCATGTGAGGTCTCAAACCAAGTCAGCTCCAGGGAAAGTGATCTCTTCTGGTGGATTGTTGACATGAACTCCACCGAGTAGATCACCTCTAGCTAGACAATAGTTCTTTAAAGGGAATCAACTGTGACAATGTGGATAAATTATAGAAAGGGAAACAAACTTGCTCTGTAAACGTTCATCTAAATCACAATAAAATATTTTTTAAAATGTAAGAATTTGGTCTGCAGCACAGTTGAATGGGCTCTGTCCTGGCGACTAGAGCACAGCAGAAGGAAATGCCACCCGATGCGACAGCATGGTCACAATCTCTGCTTGCTCAATCCCACTGAGTCAGTCCGTCTTGTGGAGTCTTCTTTTACGCTGACTCTCTTCTTTACGAAGCATGATGTCTTTCTCCAGGATCTGGCCTCTCCTGATAATCTCTTAAAGTGTGTGAGACAAAGTCTCAACAGCTTCACTTCTGAGGAGGATTCTGGCTACACTTCTCCCAAAACAGTTTTGGATTTGTGGCAATATTCTTTGTCAGTATCACCATTCAAAACGATTGTGTTTACGTTAATGATAATGGAAGGATTTGGAAAAAAATAAGGAGAACAGTTGTATGCCTCAAAGTATATTATCAACATCGCTAAATTGTACAAACTGTTGAGTTGGTGTCTGTTTCCACCACACACATAAAGGATAACTCATTCCACACAGAGATATTTCCTGGAGAAAACGAACCAGTGAAATCAGCTCTGCTTACCGCATTAGGAGTGGAGTGATCCTGATCTGGGGAGGCAAAAGAAGAGTTTCAAATCCATGAAAATGCAAAGCTGCCTTCCAGCCTGAGAACAGCCCTGTTTCTAGGCTGTTGTGACTTCCAGCTGAGGAGGGAGAGGGTGGTGGCAGTGGGAGGAGAGGTGGCCCAGGACCCTTAAGGAGTTCTGCTTCCCTCAGAGTTTGTCAGCAATATTAGTACCAGAGAAGGGGCAGGAATAGAGCCACAGAGGCCTCAGACCACTGGTGAAGATTTCTACCTGTTCACAGGCCTTAATTTTTGCCCAAATGCATTGAGGAGGGGCGATGAGACTCAGAGCACCCAGCACGCTGAAAACACAAGGTATAGTCTCACCAAAGGAGAAGGCCCTGTCCACAACAGAGGCAGGAGGGGAGGAGCAAGGTGAGGAATGGCTCCTAGGAACACGTCCATCTTTCTGGGGCCTCTTTGTTCTAGGCAGAATGTTGATCTGGGGCCCTGTCTCAGTGGAACCTTTTGAGATGAGGAAAGGTGTGAAGATCTATGCCATTTTGAAGTAAGGAATCTGAGATTCAAAAGCGATTTGGGGATTTCAGAGTCCCTGCTGGTGGAGTTTACCAGCTGTCTCACTGAGTGAGTCACTTTGTTCCCTGTGGTTGGTGCTCAGGCTTTGTGTCCCTGTGACAGCACTGATCGCTTGCTTTAAATAGAGATCTGAACTGTAACTGCTATTCTCAAGAAAAGGAGTGTTGGATTCATGAATTAGAAAGCACATTTTCAGATAACTCCTCAGAACTTTGCAGTGTGTGCTGCTGTCAAGTCAAGTACGACTCCTAGTGAGTCCATAAAGAACAGATCAGAATCTTCTTGCCCCCACCTGAGCCATCCCCACCATCTCTACCATGCTCAAGCCCACTGTAACAGTCACTGAGTCAATCTCTCTTGTTGAGGGTCTTCCTTTTTCTCTGCCAGCATGCTTGTTTTTTCCAAGATCTGTTCTGTCCTGACAACATGGCCAAAGCATGTGAGACATTTCATCCTCTTTGCTTCTTTTTTAAACTCTTTAAATTGAGATTTTAATGAAAGTTTATAGAGATTTTGAATTTCCATTCATGTATTGTTGTACATTTCCCTCCCTGTCCACCCTTCCCCGCAGTTTGCTTTTCTCTTTGAAAAGAAAAATATTCTTACATTTTTATACAACACCCACTACCCCCGCTAGTCCACTTTACTATGCAGCTCTTATTCTGGACTCCGTCATGAAAATTATACCCAATCATATATTCCTTTAAAACAATTCTCTCCCTCATCTGTTTCAATGCAGTGTACATTATTTATCCCCTCTTTTCTTAGTTTCCCCCTCAACCCCAATGTCAGTCCCGTTTTACAACAGTGGCATTATGCAGTCTTTGTCCTTCTGTGACTGAGATATTTCATTTAGCAAAATATCCCCTAGGGTCACTCATTTTGTATAGTATTTTATGAGTTCCTTGTTTTTCAATGTAGCATAATATTCCATTCCACAGCTTCTCCATCCATTCATTTGTTGATAGGCACTTGGGTCGTTTCCATCTCTTTGCTATTGTGAACAAAGCAGCAATAAACATGGGTGTACATGTATCTGCTTGGGTGGCGGTTATGGTTTCTTTGGGGTGTATTCCCAGTAGTGGAATTGCTGGGTCATCTTTACTTCTAAGGAGCACCAAGAAATATGTGTAAATAGAGAAGCCTGAAAACAGAACCTTCACTTCTCCATATTAAAGTCTTTAGCGAATCTGGAATCAATACTGGATTTTCTAAGAGCAGGTCACCTAACTTTGCAGCGAACCTAATCATAGACTCTAAAGGAAACATGTCTTTTCTCTGAGGTCCGACAGGTCCAGAACAGGACCCTTACTCCTTCCCATCCTAGAAAGTTCTTTTGCCAGTGTTTAACTTGAATTTACCATAACCTTGACATTTGCATGCCAAAAAAGGAGAGAAAAAGCAAAAACAGTAATAGTTTCTCCAGTCTCTCCAAAGTCCAGTTTAAATACCAAGTACAAAGCCTGTACTGAACTTGGAAATTGTAAAGATTAATTTGACCAAGGCAGGAATAATCTTTGGTTAAAGACAAAACAAATCCCCTGCTCTGGGACAGCATAACCTTGATTCCCACACTGACGCTGCCTTCTGATAAGGATGTAGTTATGGTAACAGGGAAGGCCAGTGAATAAGAAAAGAAACAGTAAAAAAACATCTTAGGGTGACAGAGCCATCTCCAGGCTGACTCTGTCAGCTGGTGCAGGCCGCCATGAGCCAGTTATCAGAAGACTATGACCCCAGCGATGAGGAGCCAGCTCTAAGCAGCTCTGAAGATGAAGTGGATGTGCTTTTACACGGAACCCCTGACCAAAACTGAAAACTCATCAGAGAAAGTGAATCATTGAGTGAAGATGAATTTGAAAAAGAAATGGAAGCAGAATTAAATTCCACCATAAAGACCATGAAGGACAAGTTATCCTTTCTGGAAACAGGATCTTCCTCAGGAAATGGGAAAACTGGAGCAACTCTGACAAAATACTATGATGATGTCTATTTTGATTCTGAGGATGAAGACAAAGCAGCACAGGTGACCAAGAAAAAAAAAAAGAAATGACACCAGATTCCAACAAATGATGTATTACTTTATGATCCTGAAAAGGATAACAAGGCTCAGGCTTGGGCTGATGCACAGAGAAGAGGCTATCATGGATTTGGACCACTGCGGCCACATCAACAACAGCCTGTGCCCAATAGTGATGCCGCCTTGAATTGCCCAGCCGGCATGACCACACTGTGCCTTGACTGCCAAAGGCATGAATCATATAAAACTCAGTATAGAGCAATGTTTGTGATGAATTGTTCTGTCAATAAAGAAGAGATTCTAAGGTACAAAATCCCAGAAAATAAGACAAAAAGATGAGGCCATAAGAAAACGTGGTCTACTCATGGACATGTTGCAAAACAGGCAGAGACAGAAGGAGAAGAAATTTACCACCCAGTCATGTGCACTGAATGTTCCACAGAAGTGGCAGTCTATGACAAGGATGAAGCCTTTCATTTTTTCAGTGTTTTAGCAAGTCATTCCTATATAGTGCAATTAGCATTTACTTGCCCAGTGTTGTATATAAAAGGCAAGTATGGACTTGCATTTTTCTCATACCTCTCTGTATCATTAAGTGACATTTTGAATTGTTGAAGAAGCAGTGTTTCAGCTTTAAAATAATGCTTATTAGCCTTCGTTCCCCTTCCTCTTTTTGTAAATTTTCACCCACACAGTGGGACTCTTTTTTGGTAGTCTCTTTGAAACAGTGGGCTTTTATTTATTAAAGCTCTTTAGAATTGAAAAAAAACAAACTTACGGTCCAGTTAACATATTCCACTGCTTATGTAATAAAAACCTTCTAAATAAAAGCTTTGAGGATGACAGGTAAAGAGGACACACAATCATGAGTTCCTCTCCCCTGACCTAAGATTAAAGAAAGTCTTCACTAGTTCATTCTGATTGTGGCACTTTCCTGCTGGTCAGAGAAAGTGCAACAGGAAATTCCATGCATATGTCTATATTGCAGAGAAGTCTCTGGCCTAGTGATAAGAAACTGTTGCAATCACAAAGGCACGTGGTTAGAATTCATTGGCTGCTCCAAGGGAGAAGTATGATCATTCTCCTCCCTTGTGCTTTAGTGCTTCTCAAAACCCCAGGGAAGGTAAGCTATGAACAGCACTCAACAACAACCTATAGAATCTGGCCCAGGCACTTTGCTGTTTAGTTAGAATGCCATCTAAACCTTTGATAAGACTGTCTCAAGAGAACAAATTAGAAGAAATCATAAACATGATTTACCAAGATCTATAGTCAGTCTGCAGACTAATGTGCACCTGATACAGGCCATGGTCTTTGCAATCCCTTGCTATGCATCAGAGAGCTAGATGACGACTAAGGATGATAGAAGGAGAATTGATGCCTTTGAGCTGTAGTGCTGGAGAAGAGTATTAAATATACCATGGACTTATAATAGAATGAACAGGTTCTTCCTAGAAAGGGTGAAAC